AAGTGAAAATTTTATAGTTTCCCATGTCAGTTGCAGTCATGATGATCACAGTGGGAAACTGGCAACTTCCTACTCTGCTAGTATTTTGCCTTTGCATGTAGAGCATATTTTTCATTATTCAATGGAGGCAATAGATAACAGAATCTCTAAGTATGTGAAGTATTCAGTGACACAATAGATACCCATGGTTAGGTTTGCAGTTGCCTCACTGTTTGCGGTTTATCCTGCTGATTTGAAGTTTTGCTCCATTTTAATAAAAAAGTGAGTCAGTTGTGACTTTCTTACATACCACGACTAATGTTCTAGAGTAGTAGACTTGAGGTGAAGCTGGCTTCCTGAGATTTCATCAACAAAACCCTGGTGTTTGAGATGGCATTTACAGGAAAGAGTAGTTCTATTTGTTTCTTTTCCTTCAATGATTTAATTTTTTCAAGGATTTCATGCCACATGTAGCATGCACCATTGTGCCTGGATCAGTATTTTCAGTTTCTATTTCTATTTCTGGCTGTCAGGGGGAGTTAGTGGAATTGGCACTCGATGTTCTTTCTTCTTTCTTTTTATATTTTATTTATCTGTCTTTCATCTTCTATGGTCATATTTCTCATCCTTCTTTGACATTTGTCTTGAAGAAAGTATCAATGAATGGTTACTGATTTTAGAATTCTTTTTGTAGTTAAATTAGTTACTATGTTATTATTTGTCTGGTAGGACCCGAAGGAAAAGGCAAAGTCGGAGACAAGGGATTGGTTAAACAATGTGGTACGGAACTAAGCCATTTGTTTGATTTAAAGCTGTCTCACTGAGGCTATGTTTAGGACCAACAAATTCCACAACGAAGTGTGAACTCCATTTGCAAGTTCACATTTATCTAGTTTTTAAATGTACAATTTTGTATTTGCAAAGGAATTTAAATTTATTTTTTCTGTTAAATTCATTTGTTCCAAACGTATAGTTCCTACTGACTACTGTACCTTTATAGGAATCTGTCACCACTATATTTTTCCATGTTATTACCATCCGCAAAATGTTTGATGCACTTAAATAGGCTTGCTTTCTCCAAAACTAATAAATTTTAACTAGCTTTCTTTTATACATGTGGCATGTGCCTGAAAAGCAAGCCATGTGTAGTTGAATACCTTTGCTTGCATGCCTTATGGTTGGCAACTACAAGAAAGTTCTGAAGCAGGTTGATAGCTGAACTTATATGTTGCTGCTTGTCATTCGTAATGATAAGTGTCTGGGTATGGCTTTCTATGATTTAGCAGTATATAGGCGAGCATGCACACGTTTATGGATGTACTTGAACCAGATACTTTGGAGACTGTTGAGCCATTATTGCTACTTAAGTTTGACATCGTGTTTGCCATTAACATAATAGTTAATTTTCTTCTACAACTTACTAGTGTATGAATTTCGTCTTCTATCCATCTGGCTAATGTATTGCTACTAAGTAGGTTGGAGAGTTGGAATCCCAGATCGATAATTTTGAAGCTGAGATTGAGGGTCTATCAGTTAAAAAAGGGAAGACAAGGCCGCCCAGATTGGTAAGAATGAAGGAAAAACTCTTGAGTGTGGTGACTTCTTTCTTGTCTGTGGTGTATTATTTTTTATTTTATTTCCTCTTTACCTCCTCTTTCAGATACATCTAGAGACATCCATCACTAGACACAAGTCCCATATAAAGAAGTTAGAGGGGATCTTGAGGCTCCTGGACAATGATGAATTGAGTCCAGAGCAGGTCAATGATGTCAAAGACTTCTTGGAGGATTATGTAGAGCGTAATCAGGTTCTTGTTACTCCAGATCTGGTTGTTTCTTCACTATCGTTATTGTATGATGTAATGTTTATATAGCCTGTGCATTGTTTAGAGAATCTATTTTTATGGTACTCTTCAATTTTTTTTCTATTTTCATGTGTTTCTTTTTATAATCTTTTTAATTGTAAAAAAATGATTCTTTAAGTTGGGATTATTCATGTTTTTCCTTCCGATAATTTGTGCTACCTTAAGTTGCTTTTAATTTTTTTT